GTATTGAGTTCAAATTATTATTCTGTCGACACTTCAGCATTCTTTTATGGTTGTCAACTCCTGAGTTTATACAGAAACCAGAACACACGCTGTATTATGACATGTTTAATTACCATTTCATTGGAATTGCGATACACATATAAAGTAATGTTAACTGAAAATCATTGACATGTACATGTACGATAACCTTGAGATGAATGCGTAATAATTACCATCGTTTCGATATATAACAACGAGGAAGTTGATCGACCTGGTTACAGTCGTTGTATATATTGTCAAGTACCTGGTAGTAGCTATCGAATATATCTCAATTTGATTTAAAATTCAGCTGTTATGTTTCTGTAGATATGTTGTCTGTCATAAAATGTTAAATATGAGATTTTTTTAAATAAACGTTACTTACATATATATATATATATATATAATTTTGAATACGTTTTAATTAAATGTGACAATAGAAAAAATAATGTGAAATAATTTGTAAATGCTTATTGGAATATATAAAAGCAGACAAACATAATGCGGTATTCGTTAAAAAAGTCAAAGTGAGTTGACTAGCTGTTAACTCGAGCTGTACAAAGTCTGATCAGATTGATGAATCCTTAATTCGAATTCGATTTGTCCAAAGTCTGATTTATTTAATGAGTCATTCACTCGACTGGTACAAAGTCCAAAGTTAATAAGGAACCGTTAACTCGACTGGTACAAAGTATGAAGTTAATAACAGGAACCGTTAACTCGACTGGTACAAAGTCTGAAGTTAATAACAGGAACCGTTAACTCGACTGGTACAAAGTCTGAAGTTAATAACAGGAACCGTTAACTCGACTGATACAAAGTCTGAAGTTAATAACAGGAACCGTTAACTCGACTGGTACAAAGTCTGAAGTTAATAACAGGAACCGTTAACTCGACTGGTACAAAGTCTGAAGTTGATAACAGGAACCGTTAACTCGACTGGTACAAAGTCTGAAGTTAATAAGGAACCGTTAACTCGACTGGTACAAAGTCTGAAGTTAATAAGGAACCGTTAACTCGACTGGTACAGAGTCCGAAGTTAATAAGGAACCGTTAACTCGACTGGTACAAAGTCCGAACTTAATTAGTAGTCGTTAGTTCGGCGTGTATAGAATGTAATCAACTTTAGAAGTATGCTTAACTTAACATATACAGAATCTGTTTAGATGTTTAGCTTTACGAGTCGTTTGCGTGACTTGTACAAACTGTGATTGTGTTAAGATATGCTATCGCCACACCTGAATACAATTTAGTTAGTTTTTCAAGATCGGGAACAGGAATCTTTCTATATATAATATAAATTTAATATGAGTAAAAAGTCCCCAAAGTCGTGGTGGTTGGTTAACATGTTTATCTTACTCTCAATAGATATTTCTTTAAAAAAAGGTTACTCAGTAATTCTTGCGTCTTTAAAGACCTTGAACATAAAACTATTACTTGAATAAGATAAAAAAACAACTATAGCTCGAGGATCCTCTTTCTTGCATCTAAAAATCAAGCATACAGAATAGTTGTCTTTCATACATTTTCATGTCAATTTTCAAAAGGTTGTTTGGCCCTAAATGACTTACATTGTCAATGGGCCGTAAACAATAAAAATCTAGAACAATCTACATTACTACAATCAAATGATGATACGATGATACTTTAAGGAGTTATCAATGGTACAATGTAATAATGAAAATCCATGGAATTACAACGATATATGAATTAAAAACCGTGTTATTTTGTAGGTTCTACTTACGGTACACTTCGATTTCACGAGTACGTAACACATGTACGTCATTTGTACAATATTTATTTATTGGTTGACAGGAGTCGATAGAGTGATAACCATTGTTATAATAATTAACTTTAAGCATTTTATTTTTGAATTCTAGTTGATCAATAGAATGAAAGATTATAATTGGTATGATTTAATAATCAATCAATAGTATATTCTGGACAGGGCGACCACCCGTTGAAATCACGCTACCTTCCTCTCACGAACACCTACCTCAATGTATACATTGATTCTATCAAAATACACTCAAGGATAATATTTGTATGTAATAATGTATAAACCATTACTTACAGTCGTTATTCACCATGTCTACATTTAGTGATTCACCCTTCCTCCACTACTGCAATGTACAAGATGTACAAGAGTGCTGAAACTCACCTCGACACTCACACTCACATACTCTCATCAACGCTCACACTCACATACTCTCATCAACGCTCACACTCACATACTCTCATCAACGCTCACACTCACATACTCTCATCAACGCTCACACTCACATACTCTCATCAACGCTCACACTCACATACTCTCATCAACGCTCACACTCACATACTCTCATCAACGCTCACACTCACATACTCTCATCAACGCTCACACTCACATACTCTCATCAACGCTCACACTCACATACTCTCATCAACGCTCACACTCACATACTCTCATCAACGCTCACACTCACATACTCTCATCAACGCTCACACTCACATACTCTCATCAACGCTCACACTCACATACTCTCATCAACGCTCACACTCACATACTCTCATCAACGCTCACACTCACATACTCTCATCAACGCTCACACTCACATACTCTCATCAACGCTCACACTCACATACTCTCATCAACGCTCACACTCACATACTCTCATCAACGCTCACACTCACATACTCTCATCAACGCTCACACTCACATACTCTCATCAACGCTCACACTCACATACTCTCATCAACGCTCACACTCACATACTCTCATCAACGCTCACACTCACATACTCTCATCAACGCTCACACTCACATACTCTCATCAACGCTCACACTCACATACTCTCATCAACGCTCACACTCACATACTCTCATCAACGCTCACACTCACATACTCTCATCAACGCTCACACTCACATACTCTCATCAACGATTTCCTTAGCTCGCATCTGAAACTACTTAAACATACATTGTAAAATATACCGTAGATAATATTTAGTCAAATCTGTAAGACAATACCACTCAAGAGAAAGTGTACACGCAGTTATTTACATAGCCGGTATCTTATAATAGAGTATCAACATATAGTACGCCACATCGCGGGAACAGAAAATGGTGGTTTCCTTAGCGAAAAAGAAAAAGCGGTGATCTTTTAAGGAGTTTAGACTGTAATTACTAAATACTGTCATACATGTTTATTAACACTGTTTATCTGTTCATGTCATCTTTACGAGCTTCATAGTGTATTACCACGGATGGTATTTGATCAGAAGGCTACCAGACACGAAAGAGGTTCTTGTCGGTCGATTTAAAATCTAAAAATTGATAATAAGACTAGAAAAGATAATATGCGAACATTAAAACAGCTGTACAAAACAATTTAAGATTTATAAATATTATCGAAGCAGCATCCAGAAACTTGGTGGCAAATAACATTGTTGATATATCAAAGTCTGATTTTGTCGTACACAAACTTTTAAACAATCCCGTTACCTCCTGTGTTGTATAAGAGGGATTGTACAAACTATTATAAAACAAATAAAAAACTGTACATAATTATAATGCTTCCTTCCTGCACACCATCTTATCATCAAACATTTGAATTTACATATCACTATGATATTGGGTATAATAACGATTTCATTCTTTTCTATTACACAAATGCTAGGTTTAGATGACATGTGATGTTATAAAAGGAATCTGTCGGTGTGACTGACAGTGCCAATGAAGAACATGATATCTAGTGGTGATATTGTAGATGTTGGAGACAACAACGGTGATCAGCTTTATCTTACTCTGTATGCCTGGCTATGTTAGCGTAGGTCTGTCTAGTCTAGGTAACCATGGGCTTGTCAGGTTACCCTTGCCTGACTATGTTACCCTTGCCTGTTAATGTTACCCATGGTCTGTCATATTTCTATTCTAGACCTGTCCATGTTACCCTTGCCTTTTAATGATACCCTGGGTCTGTCGGGTCCGTCAATATCTAAATCTGGGCATGTCAGTGTGACCCTGGGCCTGTGAATTTTACCCTGGGTCTGTCAACGTTACCTTTGACCTGCCAACTTAACCATGTGTCTATAACTCTGTGCCTATCATTGTTAACTTACAATGCTACGCACATTATGTCTTTGTTACATGTTCGTGTTAACCTATGTATGTCTTTGTTAATCGGTGCCTGTTAGTATTTACCAGGTTCTGCCATTGTGAGCCTGATCTTGTTTATGTTAACCTGTGTATGTCTTTGTTAACCGGTGCCTGTTAGTATTTACCAGGTTCTGTCATTGTGAGCCTGATCTTGTTTATGTTAAACTATGTCTGGCGTTGTTAACCAACGTATGTATATGTTTACTTGTGCCCGTCAATGTTAACCCTTGCCTGGCTAAGTTAACTTACACTCGTAGACATAATATCGATTATATATAAATGCAGTGATACGATTTCAATATGGTTGATATTTTACTGAACAATAACACTCAAAACCATCAGATGTCTTTACACATTACAAGAAAAGTCATTGTGAGCGAATATTCTTCTATACACACTACAAGCAGGCGGTATTGTGCACTTTAGAACTGTTTTTTCTATGTCTCCGGAGCCATACCTTCGCATACTCTCACCTTTAACATACTCATATTATTTTTACTACCGGCATTCAACATCCTTAATTTCATTACCTAACATATATGTTATCAACCGTACGCTGGACTTTCGCTGGCGTCATCCTTGCATACAATCACTCTTAATATTACCTCACATGTAAATGGTCTTTGGTTCAACACACCATGCCCACATACTATATACTACGGTACAGGAAATGGCCACCAACACGTCTATTTTTTCCACATTTAGAAAATATTTTGAAAATTCTGAAAAAAAAGGTTGCCAAACAACAGAAAGTTGTCATTGGGATGAGTAATATCAGCCATTCAGATGATGTCTCTCTCGCAAACGTGTTATATCAGCCAATCAGATGACGTGTCTCTTTCACACATGTCAGGAACTGGCCATTCAAAAATAACCTATTCCTCGCACTCGATTGAGCAATATTATTGTAAATATTAACATGGTAGCAAGCAGATTGCACGTGCTTATTGACCTCGTAGCACCATTAACCGGATCTACCGGACATGGATTGTCGTAACCGTCTACGTCTGCGCAGATTTCTTCCTCATTTCCACCGTTCTGGATATGTGTATATCTGATATACTCGTCGTTCTCAGCTCGAATCCAGTTGGCGCCTTGTGGAGTTGTTGGTGACGCACTCTCGAGCACAAACAATGCAAGGTTGAACAGGCACCTACAACAAAACAAACATATTACAAAGGAATTGCGTAATGTCGTGTTGATAAAATAAAGAACTAACAAATCGTTTATTTTCGTAAATAAAAATATCTAATGGCAATGCTATATACTTCCCGTTGACAAATGCGGACGATGCAGAACACGAACATAAATCCTAACGATTGCAAAGTAAATGTGGAAACTTGATACAATATTATGTATATCCTAAACTGATCATTGAAATTAATGTTTATGCTTATATTATTCATGTTTAATAAATAACATGAGTAAGTATCTTACTAAAATTCATCTGACTTATCAAACCATTGCCAATTAGGTATTCTAATATGTCATCATTAACGAAAAAAGATAACGACTTGATTTGCTTCTTCGTGTTTATTATTGCTTCAAGATTATTTTTTCTTGCATTGTTCACTTCTATTGTTTCAGAAAGTCTTCTAAATATATACAAATTCATTTAAATGTTGCAATGTTGCTATCATTATTTCATTTCGCGTTGTTGTCTGAACATGTAGTTAAATTTCATGAACAATGATAAGCGAGTAAAAATGTTGAAGAATCAGATTTGAGGCAACAGATAATCTTCTTGAAAACAAGTGTGGTGCTCCAGTTCACTAAAACACATGTTGTGCTCCGTACTTACCTTCCGGCCACAGACTCGGGGCAGTCAGGGTCGACATATCTCCCCATATCGTCGACGTTTAGACGTTTGTTCTGTTGGTACAAGAGGTAGTAGTAGGTATGTGTGGTGTTGTCGGGAGGGGCGGGGCCCCGGTACGTCTGGACTGTCTCCCCCAGCTCGACCGTCCCGTTGGGGATGTTGATGATTTGCCAGTGTAGCAGTGGTTCGGTTTCGGTACCAACCAGGGGGTTCGGTACGTCAAGGTCAATCATGATCAACGTATGCAAGGTTCCTGTGACAATAATCAACAACGAGACTGTGTAGGTAACGGCACTTGAATTTAAATAGGTAATTATTTAATATGTGGGTATATAAGTATTTAATTGATTTCAGTTTACATTCATAGCCAACTGGAAATGACAAATTCAGTGAAGCATGCTATGCCAACTGGAATCGTTCAGTTCTTATACTTACAATTGTTTTGAGTATGTCAATCTCAAAGAACATAGATTTTGTCCATCAAAGTACATATTAATAAATGTCAAATTAGTGTATGCATCACATATGCTTGTTAATTGAATATATCAAACTTCTTCCAGGGAGGGTCAAATGTATGCAACATGGCCATTATGACGTCAAAATAATGACTATATCAACCATCGGGCAATGCCATCCCATAGCTAATTTTGGCAAGGTTATATTGTGAAATTTCATGCGATGGTCACCATTTACAATTAATCTGGTCACCATAGGACTATTGAATTGAAGAGACACTACTGTAGGAGCAAGGCATTTCTTAACTCCCGCCACATCCACACAAAGTGATATCAACAGACACCAGCAAGCGTGAGGTTGCCGGAAGTGTGGAACAGGAGGAGTCACTTAATGGCATAGATACAAAGGAGAATAACAAATACTAGTCGACGGTGAAATCTCCATTTCAGACGTAGTAGACGCTACTACACTGGTACATGTACCTGTGTGTGTAGCCTGTACAACTGGACGTAAACTTGTAGCCTGTACAACGGGACGTACTCTCTAGAGATGGTTTATTACCTGTATGTGTAGCCTGTACAACTGGACGTACACTCTAGAGATGGTTTATAACCTGTATGTGTAGCCTGTACAACTGGACGTACACTCTAGAAATTGTTTATTACCTCTATGTGTAGCCTGTACAACTGGACGTAAACTCTAGAGACGGTTTATTACCTGTATGTGTAGCCTGTACAACGGGACGTAAACTCTAGAGATGGTTTATTCCCTGTATGTGTAGCCTGTACAACTGGACGTAAGCTCTAGAGACGGTTTATTTCCTGTATGTGTAGCCTGTACAACTGGACGTACACTCTAGAGATGTTTTATTACCTGTATGTGTAGCCTGTACAACGGGACGTACACTCTAGAGATGGTTTATTACCTGTATGTGTAGCCTGCACAACTGGACGTAAACTCTAGAGATGGTTTAATACCTGTATGTGTAGCCTGTACAACGGGACGTAAACTCTAGAGATGGTTTATTACCTGTATGTGTAGCCTGTACAACTGGACGTATACTCTAGAGACGGTTTATTACCTGTATGTGTAGCCTGTACAACAGGACGTTTTAGTCGTTGCAGGCAAGCTAAACTAAAGAGTATGTCATGTCATACACATATGCCAAAGCCGATACGCAGAAAGCAAATCAAATCCCAAGGACGAAACATTGGCTACTTCATTCACAAGGGATAGAAATGTATTATTGACCGTCATCGTGGACGAAACCCTGATTGTTAAACCTGACGATAATAGGCTAAGACAGGGACATCTTTCAATAAAGATATTGCAGCTGTTAATACTTAAAAAAACCACATTTTGATGACGCGTTGTTTTATTTATATCTTATTAAAACAGGGTAATGTAAGGAAAGCAGTTTTAACCTATTGAACACTGTTGTTATAGGAGCTATATAGGTAACCTCATCTTTGCTACCTGTATCGCCAGAAATATTAATGGATTCACCAACATTTGTCCTTGAGGAATAAAATTACTCGACGGAAAAGTGTTTGTACTTTACACATATACGTTACGTCCATGTCTTTGTGAAGCTGGTTTAGGGGGATAATGCTTCCTTATGAGATATAGTCAAACCAGTGTAAAAGGACATGAAACCGACCACATACCGAACTATGGGAAGAAAGTTGTATCAATAAGGTTGGAATTCCTCAAGACAGATGAGCCTTCTCTGGCCAGCCTATGATTAAATAAAACAGACTAAAAACAGATAGGGTAATGCGATTTGTCCTACCGGCAAACGTGTAGGCATCCGTCAGAAGAGTTCTCTTGATAATAGCGACAGAGGGCGCCACCGAAGATCTGACGTCACCGCATCGCTGTAAAGTATTCCCAAGAAGGTTGGTCTGGAAGGTCTTGGCACTTTAAAAAGAAAATGTATTTATATAAATGAAACGCTTTTAAAACAGTTCTAGTCTTTTTGTGTAGGTACATGCATATATGAACGGAGCAGTGAGAATTGGGAATTTATTTTACACATCAAGTTTTCAAACAATGGTAATGACTGCAGCAAAGTACACATGTAAGCAGAAATCTAGTTGAACGTCTATATCTCCTTTCTGCCATATCTTACCCCTATGGTCTGATCACTTTGAACGATTCCTACATTCCTACATGGAAAGCAACACATTTCCTTGTAGAAGAGTCTATTTCCAGTTAAGTCGTAGTACCTCTACACACAAGATCGCATCAGTAGATTGAAACGGGGACTATCATGTGATTCCAGTTTGCTTTAATTAATAATATTCTTATATAAATTATTTCTGATTGGCTTGAAGACTTTTATCAGAGTATGAAATAACATGCCATAATAATTATCGAATTCTAAATTTGGAAATATGTTTATGATTAATGGCATTCCGATTTCCGTACTATCACAATGGCGTCTGCATACGACTCAGTCGGAGGCACGGGAACGGTAAACAATGATTTATTTAATGACGAGGATTTTTCAGAAAAAAAGAGAGAGAAGACTCTATTTGTTCAATGAAAGCAACATAAGTCCTTCAGAGCGTGCATGCTGTATTGACACGGGGATGTTTTACTTCGTGTGGCTTACAAAACAGGAAACAGTCAGAATTCGACAGTGTTTTGTGTACGTTGTATGTATTTTACCGAGAGAAAACAATAAGAAGAAAAAGTGCACCAATCGAACGCATCCCTCTGTCATTCGGAAAATGTACAGCCTTATCCCGAATAACTAGGTACATGAACGATGTCTGGACCGATACTGACAGGTTCACAAGGAACGTATGGGGACATGATGGAAGTGTTAAATACAGGAGGTCACCAGATATGACATCGATGGAAGAGCTGTCCAATGACGTAAAAACACAAAAAGCCGAACCTGATAGTCCATGATTGGACGAAAAACAAAATGCATAATTTGTTGTGTAAACGTTGAATTTTATATATTTGTTCATTATGTAAGAGATGTAACTGATAAAAGTGTCATTAATCAGTTAGGCCTCGGTTTGTCACATTGGCCATAGAAGTGTGGCTTCGGGTCAATATGGCAGACTTCGGCCTACTAAGTGGGTCGATATAGAAATAAGTTGATCTTATATGGAATTGGCCGAGGGCCATTGTGATGGACAGAGGCCTATAATAACTAGGTAAACATGGAGTTACATATAACTCCATGGTATATCAAGAACAGAAGCACTTATGGTGTCAAGCTCAACCAACTTCAAAATATATGTGTTTATTTTAACTCAAAGTGAAATGACAATTCATATAACATTGCAGTAGAAATGAAGTAACTTATATGTATTTATGAAAAACTTATATATCGTAATTATAAATTATCCAGCTTGTACTACAACGATATCTTAATGACATTTTAAAATGTCAGCACACCATACAAAGCTTGATCTCATCGGTACAGGCTGCGTTCGGTAGATGTACGGATATAAGGAATGACGATGACACAACGTGGAGATTATTTTGGGGTGGAGAAGCTATCGCTACGTCAGGTGTCATACAATTAGTTGTACCATCAACCCTTACAGATCTCGGTGAATGGGATTGGCGTACGTTTCACCGCACCGTGGTCACTGCGCGGGGACCAACCTGTCACAGCCATTTAGTTAACCTTAACATTGTCGACGTTAATGCAGCCCGGATGGGGAGGAGACTTTGATTGTCGTTCATAGTAAGGTAATTATTCACGAGCCCGATCTGCGCGTGTTTACGTGTCTCAGGTTGGCTGTTAAATCACGCGCCTCGTTATATACAATTAGATGGCGATAATCAGAATTTATTATATCTGGTTTTATGTACTACACTATAGGTACGGCTGCTGGAGATGGCATGGTAGTAAAGCAATGGTGTCGTTGTATAGAATGGTTAAATGTCATTATACTGTGAAGCCATGACGGTCCATCTGGAATTGTTAAACAGTTAAAGCTAGCAAATGAGTATTAGGAGATATTTAAACATAGGTAGGTGGTCTGTAAATCACCTTTTATGGATGCTAAAATTACTAACCAAAGGGAATCAACTCAGAAAAAAGCATTTAAATGCAAAGTATTTCATTTCGCTAAGTATCAGCCATGAATTAAAAGGAAATGACAACTTAACGAGATGGTTTTAGACAATACAGATACCGGTACTGCGTCATTAATGTAACGGTGTCAAATCACTGGTGATTAGAAAAGGAGTAAAATACTCAGAATTGAGCAAAATAAAATGTTTAGGGGTAAAATAAAACATCTAGGAGTAAAATAACCTGGAAAGGAGTAAAATTTTACCCCATACGTTTTATTTTACCCCTAAACATTTTATTTTACCCCCTTGACAAGTTAAAGTACTCCTAGATTATTATTTTACCCCCATGACGAGTTAAAGTACTCCTATTTAAGTTATTTTACCCCTCTGACGAGTTAAAGTACTCCTAGATTATTATTTTACCCCCCTGATAAGTTAAAGTACTCCTATCCGGTTTATTTTACCCCCCTAACGAATTAAAGTACTCCTAGATTATTATTTTACCCCCCTGACAAGTTAAAGTACTCCTATCCGGTTTATTTTACCCCCCTGACGAGTTATAGTACTCCCCGATTATTATTTTACCCGTAGACGTTTTATTTTACTCATTGGACTTTTAAAGTACTCGTGGCTTTTTATTTTACTCGTGGCTTTTTATTTTACCCCCTTTATTTACCTGTGCTCCACGGCAACAGGATCTGCGCTGGCGGTTAGCTAGGCCTTTGATCTAACCGGGTAGTAGCCTGTCGACCACTTCGAGCTGCCGCGGGCGGTGTCAAGCATCACCAGGTAGCTCTGTTCATGTGTGAACACTTGTCAGTCGACAGCTCGCCTCATAATTAACAACGTGTCTGTGCTTTGTTCACCTATGTTTATTTGGTGTAATCAGAATAAAACTATGGAACTGTGCCGTGTTTGTAATTTACTTCAACTTGAAACTGGTGTTTTGGAATACGTGTTTGATACATACTCGATTTATGTCAAATTAAACTTTGAAAATGTGCCGTGTTTGTTACATACTCGAACAGCGCCGTTGAAATACATGTTTAAAACTATGGAATTGAGCCGTGTTTGTAATTTACTTCGACCTGGTGTTTTGAAATACGTGTCTGTAACATAATCGAACTGTGCCGTTAAAATACATGTGTATACACTCCATTAATATGTCAAATAAAACTATGGAATTGTGCCGTGTTTGTAATATACTTCGGCCGTGTCTGTTGAAATATGTTTGCTTATTACTCGATTTGTAATAAAAATATATTTAAATACATTTATCGTGTTTGTACTTTATTCGGCCTGATGATCTAAAATACGTGTTTATTAAACACTCGATTAATATGTCAAATTAAAACTATAAAACTGTGCCGTGTTTGTAATTTACTTCGACCTGGTGTTTTGAGATACGTGTTTGTTACATACTCGAACTGTGCCGTTGAAATAATACACTCAACAAATATGTCAAATAAAACTATGGAATTGTGCCGTGTTTGTAATTGATATCGGCCTGGTGTTTTGAAATACATGTTTGATGTTTTATACACTTACTATGTCAAAATAGAACTATGGATTTGTGCCGTGTTTGTTATTTATATCGACCTGGTGTTTTGAAATAAATGTTATATACATTCTCGATTAATATGTCAAATTAAACTATAGAAACTGCGGTGTTTGTAATTTACTCCGACTTGGTGTTTTGAAATTCGTGTTTTAAACACTTGATTAATGTGTCAAAATAATACTGTGCCGCGTTTGTAATTTACTTCGACCTGGTGTTTTGAAATACGTGTTTATAACACACTCGAACTGTGCCGTTGAAATAATACACTCCATTAATATGTCAAATTAAAACTATAAAACTGTGCCGTGTTTATAATTTACTTCGACCTGGTGTTTTGAGATACGTGTTTGTTACATACTCGAACTGTGCCGTGTTTGTAAATTACTTCGACCTGGTGTTTTAAGATACGTGTTTGTTACATACTCGAACTGTGCCGTGTTTGTAATTAGCTTCCATCTGGGTTTTTTAAACATTCTCGAACTGTGCCGTGTTTGTTAATTACTTCGACCTGGTGTTTTGAAATACGTTTTTGTAACATAATCGAACTGTGACGTTAAAATACATGTTTTATACACTCCATTAACATGTCAAATAAAACTATGGAACTGTGCTGTGTTTGTAATTTACTTCGGCCGTGTCTGTTGAAATATGTTTGCTTATTAATCGATTTATAATAAAAATATATTTAAATATATGTATCGTGTTTGTACTTTGTTCGGCCTGATGATCTGAAATACGTGTATATTAAACACTCGATTAATATGTCAAATATAAACTATAAAACTGTGCCGTGTTTGTAATCTACTTCGACTTGGTGTTTTGAGATACGTGTTTGTTGCATTCTCGAACTGTGCCGTGTTTGTAATTTACTTCGACCTGGCGGTTTTTAAAATGTACGTGTTTATAACATACTCGAACTGTGCCGTGTTTGTAATTTACTTCGGCCGTGTCTGTTGAAATATGTTTGCTTATAACTCGATTTGTAATAAATATATTTATATATAAATTTGTCGTGTTTGTACTATATTCGGCCTGATGATCTGAAATACATGTTTATTAAACACTTGTGTAATATGTCAAATTAAAACTATAAAACTGTGCCGTGTTTATAATTTATTTCGACCTGGTGTTTTGAGATACTTGTTTGTTACATACTCGAACTGTGCCGTGTTTGTAAATTACTTCGACCTGGTGTTTTGAAATACGTGTTTGTAACATTGTCAAACTGTGCCGTTAAAATCCATGTTTTATGCACTTCATTAATATGTCAAATAAAACTATGGAATTGTGCCGTGTTTGTAGTTTACTTCGG